GTTTTGCAACTAATTATCACCTATTAGCTCTAATTAAATGAATTAATTATTTTAAATTATAAATAATAACAAGTATCAATTATATTAAACGAATTAAATATTTTAAATTATTTTTTTATTTTAATTACACAATAAAAAATAATCATCTCTCATATTTTATTTCACCTCGAATGTTATTGACTTAAATTCATGATTTTTTATTTTCAATGAAAAAAATGACCTAAATTATTTAAATTATTAATAATAATTATTAATTATTAAATACGATATCACTTATTCCCTCTCAATTTAATCCGAACACCTTTTAACAACTGAGCCTAAAGTCACCAAGCAGGCCTGAGCTCTGTCACCGTGAACTTCATCAATTTGTAATTTAATGGTCACGCATCTCATATAAAGAGTAGAATGTTTATCATTTTAAAAAATTTTAGCTGCTAACAAACTAATTTTATTAACTTTCTAACCAATACTCTTGTAAAAAAAATCTTACGTATATTAAAAATGTTAGAGAGGAACAAATTTCTTCGATAAATAATTAGATCTGTATCTTTATGCCCTCTTCTGTAGAAAAGCACATGTTGAACAGTAGAAAGTGAAAACGTGAAATCACATGTGGGTGAACAAGGAAAAGCCACATAAGGTTTGCCTTTGCCGAAAAGTCCAGCCATTATTTTATTATAAGCAAAAATATGCCAGAAAGTTGTTGAACTGTACACAGGGTGTTATAATAAGGATTAGTACATTAAACTCAGATATAATTTAAACACTCAGTCAACAATGGCTAGCTAGCAAAGTGTGGAGAATGTGATTGTTGGCACGAAATGGACGAGTCGGTGGTGCTGGATTTAAGAAGCGAAATCGCTTTTGAAAGGCATATATGAATTTAAGAGAAAAGGATGTACCTCTACCCCCAAAGACTGGGAGACACATGCCTTAAAAGAAAAACAAAAAGGAAGAAGAAGAAGAAGAAGAAGCCCAACCAAATTTGAGTCACTCCACCTCAATCTGAATATGACATAATAACTGTTTTCTTTGAATATCAATTATTGAAAAATTAATGATCAATAACTCTCTTTATATTTAATTTATATATTTTTTATAATATATTTAAAAGTTCATATGTCAATTTTCGCATGATCAACTGTTAGTGACAGCACATAAAGAAAAAAATGGAAGAAAAGAAACTCAAATTCCCAAGTGCGTTTAATTTAATACTAGCAAGAGTCAGATCTCGTTTCTAGATTGCACTAATTTCTTCAGAAACATAAAAAAAAAAAAAAAAAAAAAAACCACAACTATAGATTAGATGGCATTCTTCAAAATGCCTTAAAATGTTCACATTTTCTGATTTTCCCAACTAATATTCAACTAAATAACTTCAAAAACAAAAACCAAAAAAAAAAAAAGAGAGGAGAGGAGAGGTTCGACATACTATGAATTCAAAACCAAACGCTTGGCACATAAAGTGCAAATATACTTCCTCTTGACGATGAAGCAAATAGGGATGAAACAGAACATCCGCTTGCTCTCCACATCCAACGCTTCCACATTGCCGCCGCAGTACGGGCACGCCCCGGAAGCTTGCTGCCGACCCAACTCCTTTTCTTCAGACGCCAAGCACATTTGCTGCTTGCTTCCCTTCTTGATCTGAAATTCTGGACTCTCCAGTCTCCACCCCAGGGAAGAAAGAATTGTTAAATGAAAGAAACAGAGAGAAACTCGAGAGTCGAGACTTTAAGAAGGCTGTCAGAAAGAAACCCAGTTCACAAACTATATATTTATTTTCTTATTTATTTAACTTGTATTTTAAGAAAAAAAATTTTTTTATAATAAATTTATATTAAAAAATTAATTTTAATTATTTAATTAAGTTTATTTATTTAATATTAATATTAAAATATTAATATTAATTTTATATTATATATTTATAAAAAAAAACTTAACACGTATTTTAAAAATATAAATTTAAAAGCTTTTATTTATTTTTATTCACCTAACTTGCGCCTTTTAAGATTTCATTTTTACCATTAACATATACATAAAAATTGACCTTTGAGCATTATTATTACGAATAAAAATTTTAATGATCAATTA